TACGTTTGACGTCTCGGTGGCCGGCCAGGTAAGGGGAATTGTCTATGGTATACCTGGCCACCCCGATCAGGTCCCCTATATCACCACCTGGATTGATTTCAAACCCCCTTCGGGACCACTACAGGTCCAGGCCCTTTCAAAACTAAGACCAGGAACGGAATCAAAGACGACCTTTAGCCGCAAGCCTCCCGAAAGTCCTAAGGTCGTCACACAGCTTTCTCCTGTCTTACCACCCCCTGATTCTGACCCCCTAGATCCAGCTGAGTACTCCCAGTCCCAGGTTTCAGATCCACCCCCGTACCCAACCTCAGGGTCTCTGAGGCCCTCAGCCCCTCCTCTGATAAGTCCACCCCATACTCGAGCAGGTGCTCCTTATGGCCCTTCTAATTCCAGTTTGACCCCAGATTCCACTGTGTCAGCGTTTCCCCTGCGGCAAGTTCCTTCCCCTCCCGGAGAATCAGGGAGACCATTCATGGTATATGTTCCCTTCTCCACCAGTGATTTGTACAACTGGAAACAGCAAAACCCATCCTTCTCTGATAAGCCCCAGAGCCTAATCGCCCTCCTAGAGACTGTCTTTTATACTCATCAGCCCACCTGGGATGACTGCCAGCAGCTCCTCCGGGTTCTTTTCACAACCGAGGAGCGTGACAGGATTCTTTTAGAAGCCAGGAAGGGAGTTCTGGACCCAGATGGACATCCCTCTACTGACCCGGGGCGCCGCAACCACATCTTCCCTGAGAACCGGCCCGACTGGGACCCCAACACTGATCGCGGTAGGGAAGCACTGGACAGGTATCGCCAGTTGTTGCTGGGAGGGTTACGGGCAGCAGCACGGAAGCCAACCAATATGTCCAAAGTCAGTGAGGTTAGACAGGGCAGGAACGAGTCCCCAGCTGCATACTTGGAGCGCCTCTACGAGGCATATCGAACCTACACCCCTATCGACCCAGAGGATCCCAATAACCGGAGAGCCATCGTAATTGATTTCGTAGCCAATTCAGCTCCGGACATTCGTCGGAAGCTACAGAAACTTGAAGGTTTTGAGGGTAAAAATCTGACTGAACTCATGGAAGTGGCCAAGCGGGTGTTTGACTATCGTGAAGAGACTCAAGACAAGCAAACTCGCACGGTCGCAAGGGCGGTAGTGGCAGCTTTAGCACAGGTTCCAGGGGAGGCTCAGAAGCAAGGGTGGAAAGGAAGGTGGGAGGGGCCAAACGCTGGGCGCCCCTATAAGGGTAAAGGCTTGGGAAGGCCTCCTTTAGCTCGGGACCAGTGTGCTTACTGCAAAGCCATGGGCCATTGGAAATCTGAGTGCCCTAATCGCGGGCTGAAAGAGAAGGCAGAGCCTTTATTGACTTTGAATACAGACTAGGGGTGCCCCGGCTCAAAGTCCGTTGTGACTCTTGACCCCCTGGAGCCGAGGGTTACTCTCAGTGTTGGGGGTCAACCTGTCTCATTCCTAGTCGACTCTGGAGCTGCGGCATCGGTCCTGAAATCCCCACTGGGCTCCCTCTCATCATCCACTGTGCAGGTCCAGGGAGTTACTGGATGAAAACAGTCTGTACCCCTCACCACTTCTCGGGAAGTCTGGTTAGGGAAGGGCCTAGTCTCCCATTCATTTCTAGTAATGCCTGATTGCCCTTACCCCTTGCTTGGCCGAGATCTCCTACACAAGCTTCAGGCTATCATTTCCTTTAAGGGACCTAACCCCACTCTCGGGTTTAACCTGCCACAACTTGTTCTCACCTGCCCGTTGTCGGAGGAGTCTCGCCTCCTCCCCCTAACGTTTTCCCCAGACCGCCCCTCGACCACCTCCACCCCTACTTCCCTAACTCTGTTGAACCATTTCAAAGGCTTGGTTCCTGGAGTCTGGGCTGAGACCAACCCGTTTGGTCTAGCAGGACACCAGCCCCCAGTGGTGGTCCAGCTCTCGTCCACAGCAACCCCTGCGCGTGTCCAACAATACCCGTTGACTCGAGCTGCCCTTTTGGGCATCAAGCCTCACATCGATCGACTCTTGGTGGCAGGCATTCTACGACCCTGCCAGAGCTCGTGGAACACCCCCCTACTTCCAGTTCGCAAGCCCGGGTCTGGAGACTTCCGTCCTGTCCAGGATCTACGAGAAGTCAACGCCCGGGTGGAAACTCTACATCCTACTGTACCAAACCCGTACACGTTGCTGTCTTCCCTGGACCCTGCTCGGACTTGGTATACTGTTTTGGACCTGAAGGATGCTTTCTTTTCCATTCCCTTGGCACCAGTAAGCCAACCTATATTCGCTTTTACTTGGACAGATCCTAACACTGGGACATCCTCTCAGCTCACCTGGACCCGGCTTCCCCAAGGTTTTAAGAACTCCCCTACACTTTTTGGCTCAGCTCTGGCCTCCGACTTGGCCGCCTTCCGGGTCTCATATCCGGAGGTCACTCTCCTCCAGTATGTTGATGACCTTTTGTTGGCTACTTCCTCTGAGGCAATATGCAAAGATGCAACTCTCCACCTTCTGCAGTTGCTTGAGGCTTCCGGCTATCGCATCTCTGGAAAGAAAGCACAACTGTGCTCTCAATCCGTTGTTTACTTGGGTTTCACTCTTCGTTCAGGTCAAAGGTTACTGTCTCGGGGGCGTGTAGCTGCCATTTTGGGCATGCCCGCCCTGAGGGACCGCCATGGGCTCCGGGAATTCCTGGGGATGGCTGGATACTGTCGCCTCTGGATCTTGGGGTTTGCCGAGGTTGCCAAACCCCTATATGAGGCCCTAACTGGTGAACCCACCCAATTTGTTTGGGGACCACGGCAGCAGGAAGCATTCGACAAGCTCTGAAAGGCGCTGTCCAGCACGCCTGCCCTCTCCCTGCCAGACCTGTCCAAGCCCTTCCGCCTCTATGTGTCTAAGTCTCGAGCTGTGGCCAAAGGGGTTCTGACCCAGCCCCTGGGGCCCTGGAATCGTCCTGTTGCCTATCTCTCCAAGCAGCTGGACCCTGTGGCTTCCGGGTGGCCCTCTTGCCTGCGAACTGTGGCGGCCGTTGCCGTCTTGGTTAGGGAAGCCGCTAAGCTCACCTTCGGGCAGCCTCTTGAGATTTCAGCATGCATCATCTGGAACAGCTTTTACATTCCCCGCCGACAAGATGGATCTCAAATTCACGCCTGACTCATTACCAATCCCTACTCCTCGATCCCGCGCGCATCACCTTTGCTCCTCCGGTCACACTCAACCCGGCCACCCTGCTCCCTGACTCCCCTCCTTCCTCCCCTATACATGATTGCCTGGACACACTGGACTCCATCCACACGTCCCGCCCTGGACTTACTGATGTTCCTTTAACAAACCCAGACCTAGTGCTTTTAACAGACGGCAGCAGTTTTGTTCAGGAGGGGATCCGTAGGGCGGGTGCAGCCGTGGTCACTCCGGTTGAGACCCTCTGGGAGACCGCTCTACCCCCCGGCACATCTGCTCAACGTGCTGAACTCATTGCCTTAACTCAAGCCCTTAGACTCTCTGCAGGCAGGTGAGTAAATATTTACACAGATAGCCGCTATGCCTTTGCCACTGTTCATGTCCATGGATATGTATATCTCCAACGGGGACTGTTAACCTTGGCAGGAAAGGAGATTAGGAACAAGAGTCAGATCCAGGAACTGCTGGATGCTGTCTGGCTTCCCAAGGAGGTGGCGGTAATTCATGTTCCTGCTCACACCCGTAGAACTGACCCCCAGTCTCTAGGGAACGCGGCAGCGGATAGGGCTGCCCGAGCGGCTGCCTGCAAGCCCTTGATACCCTCTATGGTCGTGGAACCTGAGGGAACGCTGCCTGTCCAACCGTCTTATCAATCCAGTGATCTGGACGGCACCCCTGAAAAGGGGAGATGGAGAAGACACCCAAATGGCTTGCTAATTCTACCCAAGGCACTGTTGCCACCCCTGTTGATGACTCTTCATGGCCTTACCCACTTAGGCGGAACCCGGCTTTACGACCTGGTGAGCCGACACTTCTACAGCACTGGGATGAAGCAGGCGGCCGAGGAAGCCGCAAGAAGATGCCTTGCATGTGCCAAAATCAACCCACGATCACAGTCAAGGATACCGACTGATAGACCACGAGGAACATTTCCTGGCGACCATTGGGAAGTAGACTTTACTGACATGGGAACTGGGTTGGGAGGGTACCGTTTTCTCCTTGTATTCGTGGACACATTTTCTGGATTGCCAGAAGCATTTCCAGTCAAAACTGAAACTGCAACCATAGTGGCCAAAAAGCTGTTCTTTGAACTTATTCCTAGATTTGGCCTGCCGGCCTCGATAGGCTCTGACAACGGCCCAGCATTTGTGTCCGCAACAATTCAAAGCCTATCAAAGATGCTGGGATTGAAATGGAAATTGCACTGTGCATATAGGCCTCAAAGTTCAGGGCAGGTAGAGAGGATGAATAGAACTCTAAAGGAGCACATTGCTAAACTTAAAATAGAAACTGGTGATAGCTGGGTCAGTCTCCTTCCCTTCGCCCTCCTCCGGGCCCGGTGTACTTCCAATTCCTCAACCCTCTCTTTATCTCCATACGAGATCCTCTATGGAGCCCCCCCTCCTATTATTCCAAGAGTATCTGCAGCTATTCCAGCCCCAGATTTCACTAATCCGACTCTTCTTAAGTCCTTCCAGGCTTTGCGTGAGGTCCAGAACGCTGTGCGCTCAGTCCTGAAAGCTGCGGGGAAAGAACCAGACCCTGCAACTTCATCGGACGCCCTGTCACCGGGAGACTGGGTCCTCACTCGCAAGCTTCCAGCTGGACCAGCCCTGGAACCATGGTGGATGGGCCCGTATCAAATTATCCTCTGCAACCCCTCTGCCGTCAAGGTTGCCGGCCGCAAGGCATGGATACATCGGTCACACATCAAGAAGGCCCCAGAGCCCAACTCCACCGCCTGGACAGCAGAAGCAGTGTCCGACCTAAAGCTTCGACTCTCCAGAACTTGACTCTTCTTCTCTTTCTTTTTGCTTGTGAGATGACTTTGGGTGACCCCTATAGCCCTACCCCATCCAGGTGGATTCTCTCCCGAACTAACGATGGGACCACCGTCCAAGCTCTCACCAGTTACGGAGCCCCCACTTTCAGGTTTGACCTCTGTGCCCTCTTGGGACCAGGATGGAATCAAAACCGGGCTATGCGGGACCCTATCGCTGGGGGAAGGGGATACTGCCCCACTATTCCCACCACTCCAACCATACCCGGGGCAGGGGAAGTGAGAATCAGAAGTATTGAATTCTATGTTTGTCCGGCCACGGGGAATCCTTCCTGTCAGGGTAGTAATCACTTTCACTGCGCAGAATGGGGTTGTGAGACTGTGGCCAGGTGGATTCCTAGGGGCGGCCGGGACCCCCTAATCACCCTGGAGAGACAAAGCCCCCTCCCCGCCTCCTGCTGGCCTGGGAAATGTAACCCTATGATTCTAACAGTCAAGCAGGACACTGATGACTCTTGGAATCTCGGGCATTTTTGGGGTTTAAGGTTATACATGACTGGGTGGGATAATGGGGTCCTTTTTACCATTCAGAAAATCGCAGTTCCCACCCGTACACTCCCAATAGGTCCGAATCCCATCCTTAACCCACAAGCCATGTTGACTCTCGCCCCACCATCTGTTAGGGACCTGGTACCAGAGGCTCCCGAAAATCCAGAGACCCTCACTAACCTAGGTTCCCCCATTTTTGATACACTCTCTGCTGTCCACTCATTCCTAAATTTGTCTGATCCAAACATAACCACCTCCTGTTGGCTGTGTCTGAATCCAGCCCCCCCCCCATTTCGTAGGAATTGCTATCGAACTTAACATCACCTCTGTGGGAAAGTTGTCTTTAAGTAAGTCCAAATGACCCTCTGCCATACCTGCCCGCTGTAACCCAGACAAGCCTAGACTTACCCTAGACGATGTCCAGGGCAAAGGAATGTGTTTGCTCGGGCCTGACTACCCGCTGCGGTCCTCCCCGTTCAACGCTACGTGCACTTCAGTCATTCTTATTTCCCCCACATCCAAAAGCTCTGACCTCCTGTTAACCGCCCCACCTGGAGTATGGTTCGCTTGTACCAGAGGACTCACCACCTGCATACAGGACATTCGTTTCCTCAACCCGACCGAGCTCTGTGTAGTAGTGCATGTCTTTCCTCAGGTATATGTCTACTCAGAGGAAGGGGCAGCTGAGCATTTTGGCCTAACTCGCTCCAGGAGGGCTGTACCTATCTTGGTTCCTATATTGGTGGGACTCGGAGTGGCCGGCTCCGCTGCTGTTGGGGCCTCAGCCCTGATACAGGGGAAAGCCAACTACGGTGCCTTGAGTGCACAGGTAGACAGGGACCTACGCTCCTTGGAAGAGCTAGTCTCACACCTTGAGACTTCCCTAGACTCTCTGGCCGAAGTGGTTCTCCAGAACCGCCGAGGCTTGGACCTACTGTTCCTCAAACAGGGAGGCTTATGCATGGCGTTGGGAGAAACCTGCTGTTTCTACGCCAATCGGTCTGGAGTTATTCGGGAGTCCTTGCAAGCCTTTAGGCAGCGGTTAGATGAGAGGGACCGCGCACGGGCAACGGGGTCTTCTTGGTATCAGACCCTGTATAATTGGTCCCCCTGGCTAACCACCCTACTCTCCGGAGTGGTGGGCCCTCTGGCCCTTCTCCTCCTTGGGTTACTCGTGGCCCCTTGTTTCATAAAATGCATAACCCGCTATGTCCAGAAACGAGTGCAAGCACTCCAGTTGTTTGTCCTGCGTCAATCCTATGCTCCTCTGGACTCTGATGAGTCCCCTGTCTGACTCTTTTCGTCTGTGAAAAGGGGGGAGTGAGGTGGACTGAGTTGTCACAAAAACAACCCCCCCCTAGCCTGACCTCCTGAGTTTCTACTTCAAAGGATCGCTAATCACAATTGTAAACTCTCCTACCCCAAAGGATCGCTAATCCACAATTGTAAATTCCCCTACCTCAAAGGATTGCTAATCCACAATTGTAAACTGCTGGGTATAAAGTTTTGTTATTTCCCTTGCTTGGGACTGCTCTCCTAGGATTGCATCCAGGGGACAGTCGCCGGCCGGCTCCAGTAAATGCTCTCTATTTTCTAATTTGGCGTGTGTCTGGTTACTCTCGGCCCGTCCATTTCACATATAGATCCTGGGGGTTGAGGGAAGAAGCAGAGAGGTAGGGCAAAATACAAAGAAATGTGAGATATAATCTTTGCCTTCAAATAGTCTTCCATCTAATGATTTCCCCATTATGCACTTCTTTTATTTTAAAAAGTCTTATTGATGATATTTGTTTTTGTATTACATTCATTTCTGAATACATATCCTTCCTCTTCCCTGACCCAGCAAGACTTCCTTGGTAGAAAAATTGTGGAAAAAACAAAGAAACCAAGCAACAGTTCAGTAAAGCCAACTAACATGTCCACCTTATCTGACAACAATGCAATATTCCTCACCATACATGTGTACACACATGTGTGTATTCCA